AAATCAATTACTTCCTATTTAAGGGTTATATATAAGCTATTATACAGACATACAAATTTAATTTTAATCTACTTTTAGCAACCAAGAGCTTGGCAATTCACAATAAATACCTTTATTAAACAATCATTTATACTAGTTACTGGTGGAGAATGCTGGTATTCCTACCCAAGGATGATTACTCATCCATCATCAGTAGGTCATACACATTTGAGTTGTTCCTCAAGAACAGAAACTCATCTAACTGAACATTCACACCTTTCCTCTCTTCTCATCCCCGTTCCACTACACACACACACACACACAAACACACACACACACACTTCACAGAAATGTTAGAGTTTTCATTGCAATATTAGATTAGAAATTTGCTATCCCTGGATTTCTTGCTCATTGCCCTAAGTCTCGTTGCCTGAATATCTGTAAACCATTTAAACACCTCTTTAGGGCAAAAACAACCATTCTACCTCTGCTATGATAATCAGAACTGAACCATGACATACAAAGAATCGGGACAGTGTCAATCAGATTGAAAATCAAGTAACCCTTCCGGAAGACACTTTACCATCTGTCTTTAGAATTAGAATACTCTTTCCTATCTTAGCAGTCCACGTCTAGAGGAAACTGTGGTGTGTCTGTGGCAGATTAATGCTGATATTTATCTTCTAACATTAAAAAAAAAAAAAGAGGTAGAAAGGAAAAAGGAGAAGGAAGCAGGTGGTAAGAAATATTTAAGGGCTAATACACAGTCTAAGGCCAAACCAATTCTTGAAACTCCTGATTTGGGGGGGAAAAAAACCCTTCATTTTGGTGGGTAACATGAATTATTCATATAAAATAAAATTAAGGCATACAGAGAAAAAGGCACTACCAAAAATTAATAATTAAATTGCTTTTCATTAACATTAACCGATCTAAAATTCAAATAAATATGAACATTACATTCATAACAAAGGGCAAAACTAATATAAAACAGGAAGGTTTCAAGAAATTGCCCGGATCTTAGTATAAATAACACTGTTGACAGAATTCAATTTCTATAACATTTTTTAAGGTATTTGGACAACTTAGACCAAAAGAAAAGTGTTTTGTTCTGTTTTTTCTTTAAAAGAAACAGAAGGAAAAAGCACTATTTATGGAATAAATGCCCTTCATCGCCGGAACTGTCTGAGCTGAGGCGGTTTGCGGGAGGGAGTCCTGAGAGAGAGGCTGCCTGAACAATGGAGGTGCCTCTAATCTGGGGCTACTTTTAATTCACGTTGTTAATGACATTTAGTTCACAACAGCCAATAATTACCCAAAACTGCTATTTCCTTACATTACAAAAAACCGTCAGATTTAAAACATCGTTGCCGAGCTCCGAGTTAGGTACTGCTAGCCCGTGTTTCCTCCTAGACTATAGCCTGACGTTAACTCAGTGCTGACACAATAAGCCACGGTTACTGAGTAAGCAAATAAAAAAGATTCACCTTTTTTAAAAAAAACTGAAAGATTGCTCTGACTGACACCAGATGATCTTCTAACTAAGCTACTGGTCCCTAGACCCAAAGTGAAACCTGGCTCGGACTCCCCCCGGCCAAGGCGCCGAGCCCCCGCGTGGCCGTTCCTATACACCATTCAGCTGGGATTTTCTTAATGACTTCACACTCCGTCCGAGAAATACTGAGATCAGACCCGACACAGATAAGAGGTAAGGTAGCAGAAAGCTGCTCTAAACAATTTTTCTTTTTAATGTAGCTTCTAGAGATAAGACAGACTCTCAAGTGAAAGCCAATTCAATTTACTCTAAAATAAGCTTTAATTTTTTAAGTTAATTCAACCTGTGCGTTTCAATCTCAGATAAATATGGAAGGTTGACGATGCCTCTGAGAACTGTCTAAGGCAACAGTCTTGAGCCATTTTTTCAAGTTAGATATGTTTGTAAATGAGGAAAATGAAAAAATTCAAAGATATTCATACAGAAAATTTCAAATGAAAGAATTACTGACCATTACTAAATTTCCATTAGTCATTCATTTTACAACCCTTTCATTCAATGCTTTTGTTTGCAATGTAAAATCTACTTGGCCAAAACCTAGGGCCTGCCATTTTGACTCCTGCAAGGGCCACGCGGAGATACTTCCTAGAGCAGCCAGACTGCCCGGACCAAGGCCGCCCGTCAGAGCGCGGTGTCGCCAAGGCACAAGTCAGCAGTCTGCCCCTTTCCAGCCTCCCACAGCACACTGAGCGGAATGAGCTGTGCGTCCAGAAGCGGAACACGTTTAGAGTCATCTTAGAAAGCTCAGATTTCATTTGCTGATCCATACCGTTATGAGGAAAAAAAAGGGTGAGTGTTATATCTAATTGCCCCTGATAAAGGTGTTTTATCTCAAAAATTTATTTTTAAAATTTACTTTTGGTCTCCCATATGTCATCCCACTTCAAGCTTTTTTGTCCTAGTAGCTTTTATATATATTAACTTTTCTTGTGGTTTTGGTACCTTTACAACTTATTTAAAATAAATTCACATCACATCTTATATAATAACTCTGTAAACTATTAGTCTATTTTTAAGTCTTTACATAAAGAACAGTACTTTCCCGTAGCTAATAATATTTTCCTAGAAAACAAAGGTCTTCTGCAGCAGTGTTAAAGTAGCGATTTCTTTTCAGGTGATTTGCTTTCTATGCATTTAAAAGTCAAAGGGAGACCAGAAAAAGCAAACAATTTTGCTTTGGTGTCACAGTCTGCCAAGATCTCTCTAAAGAGCGCTTGTCTCCGATTCTGCACCACCGGTGACCCCGACAGACCCCGGGTCGGAGGAGCCACAGAGACAGAGAGCAAAGGAGCAGCCCGGCCCAGACGCTGGCTCGCTCCAGCGGAAGCGGTGCCTTCCCTCACGAGAAGAGGAAGGGCAGCTCCTGGTCCTCGGGGCGCGCACAGCGCAGGGCTGCCGCTGCCTCCCGGGGGAGACCACTGATTCATACCTTCCTGGCGAGCTGCTTCCGTTGACTAGAGGGGATAGGAATCTTTGTGTTTTGGCTTCTCCTCAGACTAGCTAGTAGAATTTCAAATTTCCTACAAAGAATGACAGAGGACCTGATACAGTAACCACAATCTAACAAACTTCAGACAGCGGCGTTCCCAAAGATCATACTTTTTAGCAGAAAATAAAATCTCATTTCCCGTGAACCCCCCCAAAAGGCGTCACAGGTAGGGCCTCCAGGAAGACTATTTTCTAGATCTTTAAACATAAAGAACTCTGCACTTGTTTAATAAACTGGGAAATACTGCAAGTGGCCACATCACTGATATCATTCATACTTTTGAGTAGCTCCAGTCCATCAGGGGTCATGGCTTCTCCCAGCTGTCTCCTTCCATCCAGAGTCCCTGCTCTTAGTGGATACATACTAGAAATGCCCGGCAGCTTTAGCTTGCCTATAAGTAGTTAATACTGGTTTTGATACGCTGTGCTTTTCCCGCGACTATAAGCTGAGCTGAGGGGAGAACATATGCAGACAGCAGAGTTGACGCGCTGTGTAGAAAGCCATTCTGTCTCTGGCACGGGAGTCCTGCGTTTGGTGCGATGTGCAGCTGGGAAGGCGTGGCTGCTATTCCTGGTGCTGAGGTCCTTCACCCCGACTGCAAGCTCTTGTAACACTCTCACTGTGCATCATATCGCCTCCTCTCTGGAATTACTGTTTGCAAAGAGCCTGCTTTGTGAGTGGCCGCAGCAGTCTGTAACCGGAGCTGGTCTTTACCACAGGCTCCTGAACTTTGGCACTCGGACATGGTGAGCAGGAGGGTTCTGTCGGGAGCAGGTGCGGTCCTATACACTGTGGTTTGTTCAGCAGCATCCCTACTTCGACTCACTAGATGCCGCTGGCAGCCTCCTAAACTGTGAAGCCAAAACTGCCTCCAGGCCTTGCCGGCTGGAGAGAAGCAGCCGCCCCCCGAGAGCCGCTGCTACACTATTTCTGAGCGGCCTCGCATTCTGTGACCCCCAGAACAAGGGTTTCTCTCATGACACTAGCTTCATGGAAACTCCAGGTTAAACTCTCAGTTCCTAAGAAATGTTACCCTGCGGGGAATCAGGAGCTAGAAACAGTAAGATGTAATACACATTATGTTGACTATTTCTCCTTTCTCTTAATTTTGGGGCTTTCAGGTAAAGATCACTTTAAAATACACTAAACAACACATACTTCTGCTTCTCATTATTCTCTTGATTGGCAAATGTGGACGCTTCTATTGCGCACACATTAATTAAAGCACCCTCCTCTGTCCTTTAATTTGGATTTGCTCATTGACTTTCACATCTGTTTTAAAATAAAATAGTATCTTATTCTTTTTAAAAACAAAAAGATATCCCACAAGTTTATAAATCCCAGTAACATGGATCTTCTATAGTGTATTTGCTTATTGTACTGGTTAAGATTAACAAACTTAGCTCTTAAGAGATTCATATTTTCTATCATGATTCCTACTGAGCAAGAAGCTTGGTATATAGAGGTTAGGATCTAAAGAATACAGATATGAGGAGGAACCTGTATTCTTTAAGTTGAGTACCCACTCTAGACTCAAGTTTAGGGCTCAAACCCCAAATGAGGATCTATTTTAAGTACTATCATTAAAAACTACAAGTAGATATCATTTTCTTCTCCTTGTTTTCCGTGTCTCTCCATCACCACCGATTTGCCAGTAGCACAGAGAAAAACCCTCCAACCTTTAGGTGTTCCAAATGATTTGTTTGTACTAGAAAGAGTGACCATGTACTAAAGTGCTTTATATGTCTGAACCACATCAGTACACTATAAAAAATTTTTAAAAAGTTTCAAGTTCTTGTAAGGGAAAAATGATTAAATATAAAAAAAATTAGGTTACTATTATTAAACAAATCTAACCAAGAATCAAGAGAAACACTTTCCCTCTTGTCTTTTTTCTCCCCGTCTCTCTTGTTCTAAGAAGGAAAGTGCCGTCAGAGAGAAGGTGCAGGCCCAATGGAGCCGGGGCGGGAGGGGCTGCTAGTGGCAGTGCACGAACATGTGCCTCAGCAGGTCCTCTGCCGACGGCCTCAGCTTGGCCTCTGTGAAGATGCGCTGGAGGAAGTCTCGGGTGTAGTCTGAGACGTGAGGGGGCAGCTTGGGGTTTGTTGGCTGAGTGGCGATTTTAAAGATGGCAGCCATGGCTTCATATTCCGCCCACGGAGGCTTTTCAGTTAGCATTTCTACCACAGTACAGCCAACACTCCTGAAAAGGAATTTAAAAATTACATTACACAGACAGTATCATCACAAAGAAAGTTACTACAAAATGAGAAACAGGAGTGAAGTGAATATACATTAAATGTGACTTGATTTCAAGTTTAATTTCATTAAAAGGTTGTAGCTACATGTAACATCCTATATAACAGATGTATATGTAAGTTGACCGTCACTCCAACATACAAGACGGCCCCCCCAATGTGGACACAAGATGCCTGCCACAAGATGGATAGCAGGGGAGGGAAGTTGAAGGGAACCAGGTCTGCAGACGAGGGCAGTTGTGGATGAACAGGCCAGCAGGGAAGGGCAGTTGGGGGAAACCAGGCCAGCAGGGGAGGACAGCTAGGGGCCACCAGGCCTTCAGGGGAGGGCAGTTAGGGGCAACCAGGCCTACAGGGAAGGGCAGTTAGGAGTGACCAGGCCTGCAGGGGAGGACAGTTGGGGGTGAGCAGGCTGGCAGGGGAGGGCAATTAGGTGCAACCAGGCTGGCAAGGGAGGGGTATGGGATGACTGGGCCAGCAGGGGATGGCAGTTGGAAGGGACCCAGGCCTGCAGGAGAGGACAGTTAAGGCTGACCAGGTTGGCAGGAGAGGGCAGTTAGGGGTGACCAGGCTGGCAGGGGAGGGCAGTTAGGGGCAGGCAGGCAGGCGAGGGGTTGGGAGCCAGCAGCCCTGGATTGTGAGAGGGACCAGACCGGATCAGACATCCAATCCCAGATTGGAAAGGGTGCAGGCTGAGCTGAGGGGTACACTCCTCCCCCCTAACCCGGGCTGTGCACAAATTTCATGCACCGGGCCTCTAGTAGTTTAAAGATAAAAATCAATGAAAATAAACCACAATTTATGGTTAAGCACAAAGAATTACTTTAAGACTAGCTGAACTATAAGAGACTAACAGTAAAAATTAATTACTTCTAAAGTTCTTTTCATTTCAGGAAAATGAAAAGCAGTTTTCTAGTGCTGAAGTTGCTTAAAATAAAACCCTGAATAAAGAATGGAAGACAGGCCCAGGAGCTCTCTGTATTTAGTCAATGATTAAGCTTCAATAAGGCAAAGTAAAATATTCACCCTGGAACCCTGACATCCTATTTCAAAGTGCGAAAGAGCCCTGAAACCTGGCGCAGACAGACACTTCCACCCCGTGGAGCAGTGGAGCAGGCCGGCGCAGCCCCACAGCAGACCTACCAGATGTCCGCCTTCCGGCCGTAGCCTTCCCCGCTGATCACCTCGGGGCTCATCCAGTAGGGCGTGCCCGTCACAGACTTCATTCCTGTCCCCGAAAGGCAGATTGTTTGAAGCCGTTTGCTGGCCCCAAAGTCTCCTAGCTTAACGTTGCCTGTTGAATCTCGCAGAATATTTGCGCCTAAAAATACGAAACATCCTCATTTCATTCTTTCTATTGGCAGTTTGGAATGTGTAAAAGGACAACAGCAGAGAATTAAATGCAGCAGACTCTTCAATCTGTCTCCAAACTGCCGCTGGCACTGCCAGGCACGGGCAGTGCCCAGAAGGGTTCACTCACACACTGAAGATTTAGCACAGGGTGTGCATGAAGGCCAGGAGGGTCTCCCGCCGGAAAGGCAAGTGCGGGGAGGGAGCGGCCGCGAAGGGAAGGAGGGCGAGGCAGGGGGCAGCACAGCAGCCTCTGGGCCAGTGTCTCTGTCCTAAAGCAAGAGGCTGCGGCTAAAGCTCATTTCTCCAAGGAGGAATGCCCATCCTCAAAACTTCCAGCACTTTCCTCTCCTGCTATAACTTAATATTAGTTATCTTATATAATTTCTACATGCTAAATCTCTTCCAAGCAAGCTTCCAGCTTTCTGTTTTTAGATTTCGTTTACTTTTTTTTTTTAAATATATTTTATTGATTTTTTTACAGAGAGGAAGGAAGAGGGATAGCTAGAAATGTCGATGAGAGAGAAACATCGACCAGCTGCCTCTTGCACGCCCCCTACCGGGGATGTGTCCGCAGCCAAGTATATGCCCTTGACCGGAATCGAACCTGGGACCCTTCAGTCCGCAGGCTGACGCTCTATTCACTGAGCTAAACCGGTTCCGGCTCATTTACTTTTAAAATAAACAACTTATTATAAACTGGCTTGAGGTTGTGGAATTCTCTACGGTGAAGTGCCCCTTTCCTCACCGCGCTGTCCCTGCAGGTTGTGCACAGCCCATGAAGGAGTAGCTGCAGGCGAGCGGAGACGGGAATTACTGGGAACCATTCTGCACAGGAGCTTGTCTCCTCTCCCCCACTGGCTTCCTCGCCCATTTGTTCGTATCAGTATAAACACAAGGATATTTCTTTTACTTTGGGTTACAAACTAATGTGACTTTTTCATTGCTTAATTGTTCCAGCTTTGGCCAAGGGGAACTCTTTCTATTGGCTCCAGTGTCCTTTTGTCATGACCCATCATTGCGTTCCTGTTTTTGGTTTGGGGTTGGTTTTTTAGTATTTTCTTACTTTGGGGCACTATTAGATGCTCAAGTCCTAGAATCAGCCCTCTCTCCAAAGAGCCCTAGTTACTTTCATTTTTTAAAATATATTTTTATTGATCTCAGAGAGAAAGAGGGAGAAAGAGATAGAAACATCAATGATGAGAGAATCATCAATTAGATGCCTCCTGCACACCCCATGCACTGGGGATCGAGCTCACAACCTGGGCATGTACCCTGACCAGGAATCAAACTGACTTCCTGGTTCATAGGTTGATGCTCAACCATTGAGCCACACCAGCTGGGCCCTGGTTACTTTTAATGTTATCAGAAACCAAGACCAGGGGCAAGGTTCATTTATTTTTTATTCTCTCTTTCCCCCTTTATTTATCATTTTAAAACTCAATCTTTTCTTCTGGAATTGCAAGTCTTGTTTCTGTCTTATGTAAATTATTTCTATTCTCATTTTTATCTTTTCCTATAAACTACCAGTTTTTAAATAAGCAATTTATTTTAACCTAAAATTGAAACTTGTTATTTTTAAAAATATTTTTAATGATTTTGAATGAGAGGAAAGAAGAGGGAGAAACATTGATGTGAGAGCAGAACACGGATTGGCTGCCTCCTGCTTGCCCCTGGAACCTGCAACCCTGGCATGTGCCCTGACCAGGAAGTGAACCGGCAACCCTTTGGTGACTGGACCACAGCCAACAAGCCGCAGTGGCCAGGGCGACTTGTTATTTTAAGCCTCCTGTAACCACAACCACATTTGTTCGTATCAGTATAAACACAAGGATATTTCTTTTACTTTGGGTTACAAACTAATGTGACTTTTTCACATTAGTGGGGGGAAATGATAAAAGATCTTTTAAATATTTTCTTTTTACTGATTTGAGAGAGAGGAGAGAGGGAGAAACATCAATCAGTTGCCTCCTGTACACACCCCAACTGGTGAACAAACCCACAACTGGGTGTGTGCCCCAACTGGGAATCAAACTGGCAATCTTTTGGTGCATGGGACAACCAATGCTCATTGAACAGAACCACATTGGCCAAGGCTTAACTATCTATCTCTCTCTAGAAAAGCCTAAGCGATCAGAAGACCAGCCGGTAGCTATGACACGCACTGACCACCAGGGACAGATGCTCACCACAGGAGCTGCTACCTGGTGGTCAGTGTGCTCCCACAGCAGGAGCACCACTCAGCTGACAGACGGGCACCAGATGCCACACTCACAGGACTGGTGAGCGCAGCTGTGGGAGCCTCTCCTGCGGACACCCCCGTCTGGCCGAGCGGCAGCGGCACAGGCACAGCAGGGCCAGGGTGAGCAGTGGTGCAGTGCCCAGCCCGGGCTCGGGCTCTTCCCCGGCCCCTGCTGCTTTCCACACCACTTTGTGCTGTGCGGGACCTACTAGACATGGACAGCAGGCTGGAGCCCAATGAGCTGGCAGGGAAGGCTGGGCTGAGCATTGTGGAGGCCCACTGATCCCGCAGGTCAGGCCGAGGGACCCCACCAGGGCACCAATCCGTGCACCAGGGCTCTAGTGTTTTATATTCTTTTTTTAAAAAATATATTTTATTGATTTTGTACAGAGAGGAAGGGAGAGAGAGAGTTAGAAACATCGATGGGAGAGAGTCATCGATCAGCTGCCTCTTGCACACCCCCTACTGGGGATATGCCCGCAACCAAGGTACATGCCCTTGACCGGAATCGAACCCGGGACCCTTCAGTCCCCAAGCCGACGCTCTATCCATTGAGCCAAACCGGTTTCGGCTCGTATTTTATATTGTTAAAAGTCCTTTTCTTTAATGGCCTCTAAGGAGTGAGTAGTGGAGAAAAGCTACACTATAGACGGGAGAGAATGCATACTGTCCATCCCCACTGTGAGCTTCCGTCCTGTCTGTTCCCCCAGAAACCCCAGCCTGGTGGGGTGGCTCTCCGCAGCTCTGCCGGACCGGACGCCCTCCCAGCGGACCGAAGGTCTGAGGGAGGCACCCCGTGGTCCAGGGGATGAGCAGAGTCCCCTGTTCATCAGGCAAAGAGGACTCTGTCGAAAAAAGCCACTGTCTCTAAAATATTTAACCAGGGAAGGACACACACAAGCCAGATTTTACTGGCTACAAGCAGGGAAGGAACAGTCCCAGGCAGATCACAGACAGGCAGAGCTAACTCTGGGGAGTAATCACCATGCTGAATCACTGCCTATCCATACGAGGGGCTGAGTGAAAAACTGTAACCAGGTTCCCAATATAGACTCCTAAGTTTCCAAACTTATTTTGGATACCTTAAAAAAAAAACTATGAAGGAGATTTTTCAAACATATACAAAAGCAGATAGAATATGTGTGTATATATATCCATGCCCCAGCCCCACCGTGCTGCCAGCCTCTCCCTCTTCCCCTCTCATATCATTTGAAACAAATGCAGACTTCAGGATTAATAGTTCATTAGTTTTAAAAGATAATGGCTCTTATTACACTGAACAGGATGGACAACAACTCCTTAATAATGTTAAATATATACTGAGTGGTTTTTACGTTAAAAAAAAAAAATCAGAACCCAAATCAGGCCCATACATTGAGACTCAATGACTCATATTTTAAGCCTTTCCTGATCTAAAGGTCCCTGTCACCTTTTCCATGCACTTTAGGAGGAACCTGCATTGTCTGCCCGTAGCTTTTCTAGTGTCTAGGTCTATTGACTCCGTCCCAAGGCATCCTATTGGCCATGTCCGTCCGCTAATATGTATGCTCTACAATTCTAAAATTTGGTAGCTGAATCTAAAGGCTTGATCAAACTCAGTTATTATTATTATTATTATTATTATTATTATTATTATTTGCAAAACTACTTCATAGATATGATGATGTAATCTAAAGAAAGGAAGTATGTTATGCTCAACTGTCTATGTCTTAGATGTCATACCTGTTAATGTTTAATGCTTACACCTATGAATTCATCAGTGGTTGTAAAATGGCACCATTCCATAATTCCTTCTTCATTTGTTAGTCAAAATATTGCTATAAAGACAAGATCTAACCACTATGTGGTCCTCAATGGCACAGTCAGTAAAAGAAAGGCGGAATAAAGGGACTGGCCCCTGTTATGAAATAAGGAGTTGATTCCCTAGCAACAATGATCTGTTACTTTTTATCCTAGGGTTCACTATGAACTCAAAGGCTTAAGTTTAAAAGTCATCAACTATCTTTCTTTTCCCTAACAATTTAAAAATTTCTCATCATAAAATTTGGGAAACATAGAAAAAGTAAAAACTGTGAAGAAAACCATTATCACTCATCCTGCCATTTGGAAGTGATCACTGTTAACCATATGAACATTTATCTTCCAGGCCATGCTTTCATTTTACAAACGTGATCACATTGCATCTCTAGCTTACACTTCATGTTCCTCCTCTCCATGTGTTTGCCCTATCATCATTGTAAGTCAGCTTGCTTCCTGCTTCATCTGACTAGTGTGGTTCCTCACTCCTGGCAAGCCCATCTGGGGTAGCTCCCCTTGGTCCCTGTAGCTCATGAGTGCTAAAGAGAAATGGACTTGAATAGAGATCATTTCTAAAAGAATAATCCCCAGTGTGGTCCTTTAAGCTGTCAGGGGCCTTGACACCTGAGGCCTGCCTAAGCGGGCAGATCTTAAAACGAAAGCAAGCTCTTATCTCTTCCGGTCATGAACCACTTCCTTCTCTCATACGCTTTCTTCTGGTGCGATGATCTGGCTCAGCTTTCTGTAGCAGAGTCCACTCTATCACTAGACACTGGACATCAGAACTGCGGCAATATGACTTAGTCCTACAGTATTTTAAAGGCAGATGTATTGATCTAGATGCTGAATTTCTTAAGCATATTACTCTTTTTATTCACACACACAAAAATTGTGTATTTCAAATGAAAAGACCTCATTTCTTACCTTTGATGTCTCTATGAACAATCATATTACTATGCAAATAGTGGATGCCTTCCAGAATCTGACGGGTGTACTTCCTAGTTACATTCTCAGTAAGAGCTCCATATGCTTTTAGTTGGTCTTTAATTGAACCCTAAATGAAAACAAAAGAAATATATGGTATGGTTTGAAATGAACCACTATATTACATCTTTATTTTTTTTAAAGAATCCTAGCTGAGTGGGAAGCACGGGAACTCTCGGTAAGAGCGCACATGCTATCTCATTTACATACAACTCAATTACATGTTCCCTGACGAGAGCTGTGGAGAGCGGGCGTCACCACTAAGGAAGCCTTTACAGCGGCTCTTGATCCTGTTTGTATCACTGTCTTGGTTCTAACTATCTCATATTCCTTGCAACTGTGTTTCTAACAATTCTCTTGTACTTTTATATCGTTTTGCCCAGAATATATTTTTGCTTTTCCTATTTGTTCTTCTATATAGATCCTACTTAATTATGTATTTCTTTCTTTCTGTTTTTAGAAGCATTTTAATATTATTATTTTATTTAGAAGTATTTTATTGATATTTGCCTATTTATTTCTTAGGAGAAAGAATGGGTATGAATAGAAAATCAGAACACATGAAATTTTAAGTTTTTCTTTTATATACTCAACATGCTAATTCAAAACATGAGAAAATATATTAAAGAGGAATTTTAAATTTTCCTAAGTGTTTTTAAGGCAGGACGAGGTGCCATCTCTGAGAATGCTCAGTCAGTCTGAGGTGAGACAGACACTTGGAGTTTACAAAAGCTGCCCTACTGACTCCAATGTGCAAATCCGATGGATAACGAACACTTCAAAAGATGGGAAGAAAATGCTTCCTGAGGAACAGATCTTCTCTTTTAAGATTTATTAGTGCCCATAGCACTAACGCTCCACTGGTGCAGCTCTTTACCTTTGTGCACCTTCTTCAGTAGGAACAATTGGAATGGGTTGTGAAGCACTGTGCCAGCTAAAAATTGCATGTGTGTATGTAAAATTAACAGATAAAAATGACTGCTAGTTCAGGTACTGACAATAAAGGAAGTTATAGTTCTAGTCTGAAAGTAATTCTAGATACACTAAGGAATGGGGTGCCGTGCTTGAAAAAACGGAAGAAGAGGTGACAATTTTGGCAAATCTTGAATCCAGCATACTTAATTTACTGAGAGAAATTATACAGCATCATTCACAAACGTGGAGATTCAGGAAAGTCTAGGAACATGAACTTTTTTTTTTACAATTCATTCAGATAGTCAATTAACTATAACTAATTTGGTAATGAGCTTTTCAAATCCAAGGAATTGAAATATATACTTTGATGATACAGCTACTTTTACAAAACCAAGTGTAGGTAATGAGAAACATGATCTAACACCTCTTCCTAAGGAGTCTGGGTTTATCCAAAGATTGCTATATAAAGATTATCCATCTCTAAATCATTTTAATCATTGGTTAATCATTTTAATTAATCTTATCTTCAACAATCTGAAACTCTATTCACTGTTATTCATAATTATTTTCTAACTTAATTTAAATATTTATTACACAAACAGTAATGAAAATAAAGAAAAAGACAAATCACAATCCCAACATAACACATTTTTTCATTTTTCTAAGTTTCTCTGTCCTTGTCCAAATACAGATACTTTTAAAATATCATAATCATCATTTAAAAGCACTTTATATATTTTTTTCTTTCTTATGAAAGTACTTCCTTCAACTTTGCTACAATTTTAATTTTTAATATTATTCTCTTGGACAATGCCATCATAATTTACTTCCACCATGGGCAATGAATTTCCATTTTTTCCATTTCACAGCTAATACTATATAATAAAATAAATATATGCAGCTTCTTCCTTCTTTTGGATTACTTCTTTAGAATAAATTTCTGTGAAATTACCAGGTCAAAAGGCTTCAACATTTTAATACATCCCACCAATTTGTTTTCCAAATGGATTTTTTAAAAACTAATTTACCTTGCCAACAGAATATCTGAAAATTAAAAGTAGCAATAATGAATAAAAGCAGAATCACTAAAAACAACCTATAATGCACAACAGAAACAAAGTAAGGTTTGCTGTTGTCCTTGTGAGACTGAGGATGTTGACATTACTATCAGATGCTGGTCATTTTTATGACTATAACCTTACCTGCAACCTTGTACATTCTACATATAATTCTAACAAACAATTCCCTTCAAGACCCATACAACAATCCTTTTTTCTATCACATACAACTTATTAAATTACAATAATGCATGTATTTTTTAATTATAGATATATTTTTATTTCAGAAAGGAAGGGAGAGGGAGAGAGATAGAAACACCAATGAAGAGAATCATTGATTGGCTGCCTCCTGCATGCCCCCTACTGGGGATTGAGTCCCCAACCCAGGCATGTGCCCTGGCCAGGAATCAACAATGACCTGCTAGTGCCCACAGCTCAACCAATCACTGAGCGACACTGGCCAGATTGCATGTATTTTTAAATGCATAAGCATACCACCATCTTTAAAATCATTAGTATTAGAATGTATTCTGCTATTACATATTATAAAAATAACAGGGATGACAGAGTTTTGCAAATCACATTTTGCAGCTCCTAATGAAATTATTTACTGAGACTATTAATATCAAACTGTGTTATAAACATTAGGTGATAGCTGAAAAAGAATTGTGTGTCACTGCTCTAGCTCATTACTTTCTGGTCTTCAGGAAAAAAAAAAACAAAAAAAAAAACTTGACAATGGAAGAATTAGGGTATCAAGCACCCTAATGCAGTCATCAATCTTAGCATCACTAATGATGAAACAACCCAAAACTGTATCTCCTAATGGGATGCAACATAAAGTACACAGCACGATCTATGGCCCATTCTAATAAAAAATGTTAAATTTGAATCTAGCTTAGACTTTTAAAAAAATTTTTTTTAAAAATATATTTTATTGATTTTTTAGAGAGAGGAAGAAAGGGGGATAGAGAGTTAGAGACATCGATGAGAGGGAAACATCCATCAACTGCCTCTTGCACACCCCCTACTGGGGATGTGCCCGCAACCAAGGTACATGCCCTTGACTGGAATCAAACCCAGGACCTTTCAGTCTGCAGGCTGACGCTCTATCCACTGAGCCAACTTAAACTTTAAGTTTTGGCTAACTTAAACTTTAGATCTAACCTGGAGTTTATAGAAAATAAGGGGATTAAAGGAACAAATTATACAATGCCATATGAGATGAGACTGTCAACAGAACAATAGCCTGTCAAATCTGTCACATAAAAACTGCTCTAGAGTAAAAGATGAGTGCCCGGCTGGCGTGGCTCAGTGGTTGAAGGTTGACCTATAAACCAGGAGGTCTCGGTTTGATTCCTGGTCAGGGCACTTGCCCCAGTTGCAGGCGGCAGCCAATCAATGATTCTCATCATTGATGTTTCTCTCTCTCTCTCTCCCTTCCTCTCTGAAATTATTAATAACGTATTAAAAATAAAAGTAAGAGAGGAGTAAGGCATATAGCAGCTAAATGTACTGTGTGGTCCTGAACTGGATGGATCCTGGTTTGGACAAACCAGCTATTATGAATATTTTTAAGGCTCTTAGAGAAATCTCAGTATGAACTATGATGCATGTAAACCACTTTTATATCAGAATTTTTTAAAATGAGTTAAAAATAAAAAGATAGATGAAGAAGATAGAAAATAAAATTGGAGAGCATTATGCTAAGTGAAATAAGCCAGTTGGAGAAAAATAAATACCACATGATCTCATTCATTTGTGGAATATAATGAACAACATAAACTGATGAACAAAACAGTCATAGAAGCATCAAACAGACTGTCAAACCTCAGAGGGAAGGCAGGGGTGATGGTGGGGGTAAGAGATCAACCAAAGGATGTATATGCATGCATATGAACATGACCAATGAGCACAGACAGTAGGGAGGTTGAGGCATGTGCTGGGGGGTGAGAGCGGCTGGGGGGGAGGTCAATGGAGGAAAAAGGAGACATATGTAATACTTTAAACCAGTGGTCAGCAAACTCAGTCAACAGAGTCAAATATCAACAGTACATCAATTAAAATTTTTTTTGAGTCAAATTTTTTAAATTTAAACTTCTTCTAACGCCACTTCTTAAAAATAGACTCATTCAGGCTGTGGTATTTTGTGGAAGAGCCACACTCAAGGGGCCAAAGAGCTGCATGTGGCTCGCGAGCCGGTTTGCCGACCCCGGCTTTAAACAATAAAGAATTTAATTTAAAAAAAATAAAAGAAAATTATATTACTAATTTAAAACTCTTCCAAAATTTCATTAACTAGGTATAACATTTTATAAATCAAAGTTTTATTACTTTTCTTTCCTCAACTAAATCTTTAAATAAAATGTCTATTTTTTCATATGTTTTTATTGATATCAGAAAGGGGAAGAGAGAGGGAGAGATAAAAACATCAATGATGAGAGAGAACCATTGATCAGCTGCCTCCTACACGCCCCCAACTGGGGATCAAGCCCACAACCCAGGCACATGCCCTGACCAGGAATCCAACCATGACATCCTGGTTCTGGGTCAATGCTCAACCACTGAGCCATGCTGGCCAAAAGCATGTTACTTTCCAAGGATATGCTAACTTACCCCTGGCATATATTCCATAAATATGGAAAGCTTTTTTTCCTGGAGATCCCGCAAACAGCCATAATATTGAACGATTCGTTCATGCAGTAAATTTTTCAACAACTGAATTTCACACTCAAGTGCATTTACTTCCTGAAAGACAGAACTCACTGTTAAATCTTTACAGCTTTGTTAGTAAAAGTAAATAATTAGAATTTCATTGATCATCAAGGTGATTTAATTCTGAAATTTTTACTTTCTAAGGAATAAATATTTTGAAGTCTGTAAATAATAACTGTTATAACAGTCCTTGAAGGTATGCTAAAGCAACACTAAATCAGAATGTAACTGAGCATAAAAGGGGAATAATTCACAGAACAATGTATATAAACATATCTAATAATTGATTTATTTTTCAAATAATTTGTGTTAGGAAAAAATAAACATTTTATCATGTGTTACATTTATTTTATTAAAAACACTTGTTTTCTGTGTGTGATTCTTACCTTGCTGGTCTCAGGTCTATCAGGGTCAAACTGAACTTGCTTAACAGCCAATTCTCTTCCTGTATCGACATCATAACAGAGGTAGACCCTGCCAAAGGCTCCCTGGCCAAGCAGTTTGCCCAATCTCCAGTTTATTGGAGCACGAGGTGCTAAAAAAGAATACTTTCTTAAAATGGAATATCTAGATTGCACAGAAATGATCAAGAACTAAATGAGCATGTTGAGTTCAGTAACATTCTTAATTGAATATGCTTGGGTATGAGGGAGAATCATGGTCATCTGAGTTCATAATGGGCATCATGTTTTGGGTGTTTTAAGCATTTTATTTATTGATTTTTAGAGAGAGAGGATGGGAGAGAGAGAGAAATGTCGATTGGCCACCTCCTGCACGCCCTTACCTGGGCATGTGTCTTGACGGGGAATTGAATCAACAACCTTTCAGTGCCCAGAACAACACTCAACGAACTGAGCCACACAGCCAGTGCATGATCACCATCTTTGAAAAATTGCCTCGTAAGTCAATTTTCTAAGAATTCTGAACCCAAACAAGGTTCGTCATCCCATACTCATTTTTTCCAATGCAATGAGATTATTTTCTTTCTTGGTTATAAATGTAACAGTATCTTTCATTCAATCTAAGATGCCACTGCTTATAAGATAGACTATCATCTTTGCTGAAGCAATATTTATAGTCAGTTTTTCTTCTGCCTATGATGTAGGAAGCTGGAAAAAGCACCACTCTAATTCTAACAAAAGAAAATCTTGAAAACAGCCAGAGGGCAAAAAGCAAACTCCAGGCAAAGGAACAAAGACAAAAACTACAGAACACTTCTCAGAAAGTATTAAAGCCAAAAAACCATGAAGAAATATCTTTAAAGTGCTGAAAGGAAAAAAACAAAACTACGCAGAATTCTACACCCAAAAAATAAAATCTTTCAAAAAGGAGAAACAAAGACCTTTTTCAAAAATACCAAACTTGAAAGAACTTATTACCAGCAGATTTGTATCAGAAGAAAGGTTAAAGTAATTATTAAAGCAGAAGAAATTTAATGCCTGATAGAATCTTGGATCTACAACAAGATCTACAGCAATAAACCGAAGGTATATATAAAAGGCTTTTTTTTCCCTCTTATTTTTTAATCCTTTAAAAGACAGCTGTCGCCAAAACCGGTTTGGCTCAGTGGATAGAGCATCGGCCTGTGGACTGAAGGGTCCCAGGTTTGATTCCGGTCAAGGGCATGTACTATGGTTGTGGGCACATCCCCACTGGGGGGGGTGCAGGAGGCAGCTGATGGATGTTTCTCTCTCATCGATGTTGCTAGCTCTCTATCCCTCTCCCTTCCTCTCTGTAAAAACATAAATAAAAAATAATAAAATTTAAAAAAGGACAGCTGTCTAAGGCAAATGTAGTGTGAGGGCACAGATGTAAAGTGAAATATGACAATGCTGGCACAGAAGGGAGAGATTCAGAGAATGCAAATATTGCCGCAGTCTTCGTGCATGCATCTTTGTATGCATCGATCACGTGATAAAGTTCCAATACTTCATACTCTGACTGAGTTACCATTCTAGTCCTATTTCTACTCCTCCAAGTAAGATATCCTCCCCTTCAGCCAAAAGTAAACTATTTCCTATCTTGAGAATATGCCATGGCCTCTGTACATGTCACCTCCTTACTGGTGAATTCTTACTCACTTGTAAGATCTAGACTGAATGTTACACTATATTGACTGCTCCAGATATCTATCACTCTCCCTGTTAGACTGTATCTTAGAGGGTGTATTTTAAACCTCAGTGCAGAAACTCAACACAGAAATGTGAAATGAATGAACGGATGACTAATTGATGACACTTCCCCAATGAAAGAGGACAGAATCATCTAAATAATTCAGCAGCAATAGCATGCTTATACCTGCCATTCCAATCACCTTTAGAAATGCAACTTTGTTGAGAAGTTGGTCTCTCTCTTGAGGACTGGCTTGATATCCGTTTCTTTTCAATACTATTCATATACAATTCTGCAGATTCTAGTATACAGTTCACGATGCCAATGGCTCTTACTTACAGCGGCTAGGTGGGCTGATGTCCATTACGGTCAAAGTAGGATTATCTATGTCACTTCCCCTTCTTCTTATTCGACTATCATCATACTCTGGGGTAAAGATACTGCTTCCACTACTGGTGCTTAAGGAGTGGTCAGTAGGACTGAAACTCACAGGAGACCGGAAGCTGGTCCCCTGGGTCCTTCTAGCTCTTGGAAAAGTTTTACGGCCTACAAAACAAAAATAGAATCACCTTAAAACTTTTATTAATATGTTGCAATTGAATGTTCTTAAAATTTGTAATGTAAGGAACAGAAATCTGTCCCATGACTAGGCTAAGAAACTGAAACAGCAATGTTTATTTAATTATATGTTTTAAACCTAAAATTAGAGTTTTCTATAGAGCTCAAGGAAAAATCCTTGTTAATGATAAATCATAAAGTCAATAACAAAAATACAAGGACAAAAGGTGAAAGAAGAAATGAAAAGTCGGAGAAAAACAAACAGAATCTGAATACAAATTCAAATAATCTCATGTTAACAGATAGATACACACATTCATAAAATCATAGACCTCTTGCTTTGGGATAAAAAGTAGAAAAAATATAATTTAGTCTCATTTTTAATCATGATTTAAAATATTGTTTAAAAAATTGGAAAGTTAAAGATAGCAATATTTTTTTCCCTTAAAAGGACCATGCAAGTATGAATTTTATGAAGGAGTAACTTTCTGAATAATATTTTTAATTACTCCTTTCCTTCTAAGAGAAAGATAAATACTATGAGGTAAATTGGCATAAAGGTAAGATGTTATGACCCAATTAAAAAATTTTAGGCAGGAAACTAAATGATTGAGAAACAAGTTTATTTCTAATAGTATTACTTAAATATGAATTTTTAAAATTATTTTTGAGAATTTTCACAAACTATTCTTGTGGTCTGAATGTCAGCAACTTACCATCATTATAGTCTTGATGATGATATGAAACATGATACCTCCTTGGGTAGGTTCCCCCTTTTCCAAATTTCTCAAAGATAGGGTTGTCATAGTCTGTTAAGACAATAAGAAACTTATGTTATTAAAAAAGCCAAGTACTTCTTTCAAATAATGAAAAACATATTTATATGTTTATTTGATTTTTGAAACAATTCCCCTCACCCTTCCCACTAAACCATTATTTAATAGCATAAACATTAAACATTTAGAATGTGGATAATCTAACCTGAAAATTCTTGATGATTATCTGGGTAGCTCTGTGCCCTAGGCATTCGTAATTTTGGATAGCTGTCTCTAAAAGTAGAAAATGTCATATTAAATTGAGAAAATGTAAATAAAACATTAAAAAAACTATATATGCAAAGTCAATATCTGTATCTATGTGTGCAGACCATATATACACACAAAGGAGCTCATTCTGAAATGTTAACATAACTCAAAAAAGAGGAACTTCTCCTTAAACTCTTGTTTGGTACACGCAGACACGAAGCGTGGCTTCAAAGTGAACCCCCGGAGTTCAGTGGTCAGATGATGTGCTCAGGAGTCACGTGCTCGGGAATGCCTGTTTGATCCTAGCTGTCACTTCACTAGCTCTGTAACCTTGAAAGCATCTTTCTGAGATTGTTTCCACATCTATAAAAGGGAGGCAATTTCTGACTCATCAAGTACATATATTTTACATTACTATTTCCCTGAATTCCCTAAATGTTTTATTTATTTATTTATTTATTTATTTATTTATTTATTTATTTTTTAATCAATCTTTATTGTTGATATTATTACAAATGTTCCTCATTTCTTCCTCACTCCCCCAGGTTCCCACCCCACCCTCCGCTTCCTCTCCATCCCCCATTGTCCTTATCCATAGGTGCACAGTTTATGTTCAGTCTCTTCCTCCCTCCCTTTCCCCGATATGAATTCCCTAAATGTTTTAAATGACTGTCCTGATGTAGATGCAGGCAAAGACAAAGGCTTCATGTACACAGGTAGCAGAAAATTAAATGTCTATTCCCTTACAATATTAGTTATATTTGTACAATTTGGTTTCACAAAGCAATCCCAGAGGAGATTAAATAGAAAAATATTTTAATAAAGACATTGACTCTATGTACTAATTGAGACCAGGAGAGAGGGAGCATTTGTAACAAAAAATTCACTTGATCCGCCTTATATTCTTGAATAGCTATTTCACAAAACAATAGTGTTTCAATTTTAAATCACAACCAACATTCTGGGCCACAACTACTAAGACTGTTATTTATAATTTGCCGAAACCAGTTTGGCTCAGCGGTAGAGCGTCGGTCTGCGGACTGAAAGGTCCCAGGTTCTATTCCGGTCAAGGGCATGTTTCGGGCACATCCCCGGTATGGGGTGTGCAAGAGGCAGCTGGTCGATCTTTCTCTCTCATCGATGTTTCTAGCTCTCTATCTCTCTCCCTTCCTCTCTGTAAACAAAAAAGAAGTTATTTATAATTTGGTGCCAGAACAATCATAATTCTGAACAGGGAAAACAACTCACAAAATCTCCAAAACAATAAAAAATGATTGCAGTTTTGCCAACAAAGTTTTAAAATTCAAACATACATAAATTCTAAGTTTGCATTTAACTTCAAAACACTATTTTGGCAAGCAGGAATATTCAAAATATTATAATAAGGTGTCAGTTTTAATTAATAATGATGCTGAGTCCCATGAGGTTAAGGGATTTGTCAACACTATACAAAAATTAATTTGCCATAAGTATGTATAAATAATATCAATTATATTCCTCTGAATGTAGCACAAAAGCATGGATAACTCAACATACTGTATATGTATATGTGTATGTATGCAGATTTACCCACATATGTTAAAAGACAAAAAATATAATCAACATTACCCATCCAAAGGACTATCAAGTGATGGACAACTTCCTGAGCCAGAATTTTCAGGGCTGCTTAAAAATAATGGGTCCAGCATCTAGAAAAATATAGAATTTTACCATTTGATGTGATGTAACCAGAAGTTAGTTTTTTAAGAAATAGCTTTATTGAGATATAGATCATACAGCATAAAATTCACTCATTTCAAGTGTACGATGATTTAATGGTTTTTAGCAAGTACATTGGGAGCTGTGTGACCTCATGACAATCTCAGAACACGGTCAGTACCTAAAAGAGAAACCTCAGACCCAACAGCGGTCACCCTCAGAGCTACTCATTTTTAAGTGTTTAAAATGAACGTGTCACTTACAGGCAGCTACAAATGCAAAATAGCCTGAGAGAAAAAGGTTGTTTCTCTATGGACCAAATAATGAAAAGCTGAAAGATTTCACATAATGTTTCTCACTGTAAACTGAACAAAGGACCTCCCCTCCCCGCCCCCAAATGAGACTGAAGATGCGACAGCTACGCTACTAGAAAATGAAAACTGCAGTAGAAACAGCAAGTACAACGTTACGGAAACGAAGGAACTCCGTGGAAATAGTCCAATACTGCAAAACCTTTCATAACATTTTCCTGTTTTGTTCATTAGATTCCACAAAATATCGAGCGCCCATGAGTTCGGTTTTTTCCCTAGAGCAGGGGACATGCTCATCTTTTCTGTCTGCATCACTTATCGGCACATACTACCGGAGTGAGCACTCAGTAACTTTTTTTCATATGCCTTTTTAAACAATATATTTTTATTGATTTCAGAGAATAAGGGAAGGGAGAAAAACATCTTTGATGAGAGAGAATCAGTGATTGGCTGCCTACACACCCCTTTCCAGGGTTCGAAAGTGAAACCCAGGCATGTACCATGGGTTTGTAAGCTGATGCTCACTGAGCTACCAGCAGCCCGGCAGCATTTAGAACCATTTAAAAATGTTTTAGAATGTTGATAAACCTCACCTTCACAAAGTTAAATGTTTGTTGTTTTGACTATATGTTTCAAATATTAATTTAAAAATCTGAGTATTAACCCCAGGATTACAAATATATGCAGTCATTTATTTATGAATGGGCAATCCACCTTATCCTAACTTCCTTTATACACGAATGCACACAGGCACACATAAATTAGTATAGGAAATTGGGCATTTTCCTATACTTTTTACTATTTTGTTCACTTCCTTATATCCCATATAAGGAAGATATGGGATTGAAGAAGAGGTGTAATACACACACACACACACTGACCTAGGCACATCCCTTTAATAAAATGAGAAACCACAGCCAACTCCTGCTTACTTGGTCCATGCTCTCTGGAATGAACTCCCCTTCACTGTGGATGCTGGTGAAGGACCCGTTCCTGGCGACCTGATGTAATTCATCCGGAATGTATCCTGGGGGAGGGGAGCTTTGATCTCTACTAGTGGAACCTCAAAGAAGAAAATTATATGATTTTATAAAGATCAGCATGGAATCAATGTTTGTTTTAATTAAATATACATAGAACTTCTGGCCGGCACCGGTTTGGCTCAGTGGATAGAGCGTCGGCCTGCGGACTGAAAGGTCCCGGGTTTGATTCCGGTCAAGGGCATGTACCTTGGTTGCGGGCACATCCTCAGTAGGGGGTGTGCAAGAGGCAGCTGATTGATGATTCTCTCTCATCGATGTTTCTAACTCTCTATCCCTCTCTCTTCCTCTCTGTGAAAAGTCAATAAAATATATTAAAAAAAAAAAAAAAAAAAAAAAGAACTTCTGGACTATATTACCAATAATGTTAGCAACTGAAACCTAGTTTTTATTAAAGCTTATCAAAACATTAATGTCTGTAAAACTTCAAGTATTTTTATGCCTTCCTTACTCCCACCTGCTGTAATTACTGCCTCACGGTCACGCACTCACACTGAGGTGGGGCTTCTCCTGGCTGCGGACAGCGCACCAGGAAGCTCCCCCGATGAGCGCCCTGCTCTGAGCTCCAGCTCCCGGAGGCCACCGTGCCCGGTGCTCCCTGGCCATGCACGGAGGCATCTGATGTAGTGGAGAACGTGGCTTCAGAGTCAGGCCTAGTGTAACTCCCAGTTCTAGCTATCTGTCACTCTGTCTGTGGGAAACTGACCCAATCCCCAGAAACCTGTTTCCTCACCGGTAAACACAGGACTACATCCCTTCTCTGCAAGAGTACTGTGACTATAAAGTTAGTTGTAATGAGCATATGCTGTGCACATCTGGCTCCACGATTTTCTTTCCATTCCCTTTCTTTACTCTTTTTAAAAAAATATATATTTTATTGATTTTTTACAGAGAGGAAGGGAAGAGGATAGAGAGTTAGAAACATCGATGAGAGAGATACATTGATCAGCTGCCTCCTGCACACCCGCTACTCGTTATGTGTCCACAACCAAGGTACATGCCCTTGACCGGAATCGAACCTGGAATCGGACCGTTTAGTCTGCAGGCCGACACTCTATCCACTGAGCCAAACCGGTTAGGGTCCTCTCTTTAATCTTTAGAAACTTAAAGTGAGATGACTTCTTAACCATTTAGCTTATATTAGAGTGCTTTCAATTTGGAGCCTGAATTTTATTATTGGGTACTTAAAATTAGGCTGTTGTTTTTTGTGGCAAGCCATATTCCTGAAATGTACATCTCTTCATAATTTAGAAAATTGAAGAATCTAATATAGTTAATCTAATTCACCACTTAATTTCTTATTAGACAATAATCCATTTTATTTTTACCTGGATGTATAGAAATAATGTCATGTTTATTAACAGTTTCTCTCTGCTCTTAATTTTTTTTAACTTAAACTTTAAAAAACGTATGGGGAAGTAATACGAGCATTAAAAGCTCTGGTCAGATTTAAAAGAAAAGAGCTTTAACTTATGACGCTCTATCCACTGAACCAAACCGGTTTCGGCACTCCAGCTAGCTTTTATGAAAATAATTAAAGGGAATAATTGTCAGTAAATAAGGAAAGAAGATAGTAATCGTATCTATCAAAGCCATTCCAAGTTTAAAAAGTAGCAAATGGAAGTCCAGTAATTTTTTAATTTGCAATTTACAATTTCTTATCTAGCAGTGACATCAAACAAGAATGTTTATAACCAGAACAAGAGTGAGCCATTCAGAATAATTGTAATTAAAACTGAATTTAAAATGTCAATTTAACTAATATATTCAGCTTGTTCCGCCTAATGCGACTAAAATAAATTGGCAATATTTGCCCTGGCTAGAACAGCTCAGGTGGTTGGAACCTAGTCCTGTGCACCAAAAGATGGCAGGTTCAATCCTGGTCAGGGCGCATACAGGAGGCAACCAATCAATGTTTCTCTCACATTGGTGTTTCTCTTTCCCCCCCTAAAATCAAATAATAATTAAAATAATTATAAATAAAAATAAAATGAGAATATTTTACTTTAAAATGTTAGGTACTAAAATGTGACAAGAAAAGGGAAGAAAGAAAGAAATGTATAATTACTAGTAGCCATGCTTCCTAGTTGGAAAAGCAAAATGTACTTTAAAGGTGCTCTCTCGATTTGTTGCTACAACAATCCCATCATTTAAAGCGGACAAAGTTACAGATCTCAGTCAGAGATGGAACTGAAATTCAGGTAACCCTAATGTGCTTCCAACAGACTTTTAATTATATAAAAATATAGCCAAATGAAGACAATTTTTACTTGTATATTTTTTTTGTTGCTCACATTTTCAGCATTTCTGAACAGTAGAATTTATGTAAGGACCAAATTTAGAAGGACGGAACAGAAGATAAATAACCGTTATTTTTTGGTGATTCACATGCTAATTTAATCTTTTCTCCCATTATTAACAAATCTCTTCTGTTACCAGTCTTAGACTCCCAATCACACCTCTGATTTTATCATACTCTCCTGCTTCTTCCCCATCCGTTTGCCTCCTCTTCTACTTCTTCTCTTTAAACCCTTCGCTTAAATATATTTTCATGCTAACTTTAATGACTATAATCACTGCCCAATCTGCTAAACCCATCTACACCAGTGGTCTCTGAGCAATGTAAGGCTCCTGCAATATAAAAAAGTGGCTTATCAGTGTTCCATACAAAGAGAAGACTGGGGAGCTCCAACACCTCTGCCCATCCCCCGCCCCTGACAGGCCTCCAGTAAAAAACGGCACCCAGTATCCATTTCTCTTTACACCATAGCTTAATTGTAACAGTGTATCAATACTGAGAAATAAAAACTGAATACTAATCCTATAAAACAAAGAGCTAATATGCTAATTAGACAGCAGAATGACCCTACAGATGAGCAGGGGCTGTGAGGGCCAAGCCCCTTGCATGAATTTCATGCATTGGGCCTCCAGTAAAGTAATAATGAAGCATAATCTGAAAACTCTTTATTTTGATAACATTCTTGACATTAACTAAAACTCAAAGAAAGGCTTATGAACATAGTCCACCCATTAATTTTATTTTTTAATCCTCACACAAGGTCATGCTTTTAGAGAAGAAGGGAGGGAGGGAGGTAGAAAGGGAAGGAAGGAGGAAGAGGAAGAGGAACCCGAAATCCAGGAATGTGATTGAATGGCAACCTTTTGGTGCAGGGACGATCCTCAACCAAGCGAGTCCCTCTGGATGGGCCATATATTAATTTTAACATATTAAAATACTTCTTTTAATTTTTTCCCTCCAATTCATTTGTATATTAATAGTTAAAATTTCTATGAGTAATTTAAATGTGTTCAACATTAAAATACCCTGGGGGTATTTAAAGAAAGAGAATGTGTAAATTGGAGATTGCTAATCTGTAATATTTGACATAATTTTTCAAGAAATATCAGATACTAGAACATAGTGAACTTAGATAAATTATAGAGAGTTAGAGATAGCTTGCTATTTACCAGGGTTATGTTTAGGTTAGAGAAAAAAAACTGAGAAATCACCCATTTCACAATTCAGATACTAGCTCTCTTACCTATTACAGAAAGCCGTGTTTTCCTCTCTGCTTCAAATACTGTTTTATCCAAATCATCTAGTGATGGCGATGGTCCTAAATTAATAGCCTACAAAGAAAAAAAGGGTGATTAATGCGATTCTTCCCCTTTAAGGTTTTAAACAAAATCCTCTACCTTACTATAAACATCCTAGATATTCTGCATGGTTTGTGGGTGTTATCAAATCTGTCAAATTTCAACATTACTTCTTCCCAAGTTCTCAGTTTCTGTTAGTTTCATATGTACAATATATCATTACACTTGTAATATTGGCTCTAGAGTTTTGAGGAGTAAGGATATTAAATGATAGCAGTTACAATGTGTAAGTTTTCATTTAGTCATATTGAAAATATATTAATAATTATAGACTGTAACTATGTTTCATATATTAATTTTCACAGGCACAAACCCTACAGTCTTACTGACAAACAATTCTGATTCATACCTGTGGACTTCCATTTCCTACAAGCAGTATCTTGAGGCTCTTCATATGAATACTGCGATCCAGCAGCTCCACAGCTTTGTCCAAGTCATCTTGAGTAGTTAATGGGATCACCAGCTACACAGAAAGGAACATCAGGGATCATGCAGCCATCAGGTCCTTCCAGGACCATCTCATTCCTATGGGGTTATAACTTAGAGCCCTCAGAATACTTGCCTCTTAGATTTGTCAATATAAGGGAATTCCGAAAGAATATATATATATATCCAGACTGCTTTGCTCTTCTGATCCTACTACCACTAAAATCACAGAACAAATATAAACACTTTTTTTTGCTTTATTAGTCATTAAATTATTCCAGAAACACATTTAAAATTAATTATTTAGGATATTTCCACAATATTGCTAAACTTAAGTTATAGTACCTTCACTCCAAAACAGTATTAAAGAGTATACACAAAACTATCCTATCCTATAGAATAAAACCCTAACATGCAAATCAACCAAATGGTGAAACAACTGGCCGCTATGACATGCACTGCCCCCCAAGAGGGAAGTGCCTGGTGGCTGCAATCAGGGGGCGGGCTGGCCGGGAGCGCCCTGCAGGCTGCCTCCCACAGAGGAAAGGGGTCTGCGGCAGTGACCAGGGAGAGAGGCCAGTCAGCGGCCCCCCTGATCGCCCTGCCTGCAGACCACCACACAGATTGGCCCTGATGGCCGGCTGGGTGTAGGGACCATACCCTATATGTTGGGAACAGTCTCTTAGATTTAAAAATTAAAACCTGGCAAGGCTACTCTAACACTGAAAAAACAGGATGATGCAGCGGTGACATGCTTGCACTCTGGCTTGCACATTTTGTGGTCAGCCTGATTCTGACACTTATAATTGTGTGACAAAGCCAGTTACTTAACTTCTCTCTGCTTCAGTTTTTCCACCCATAAGATGGGGAAAATGTCACTGCTGCCTCAGAAGGATCAAGTTATTTACATCCCAACACACAGAGTATCTGTGACAGCTGCAATGGAGGGGGCTCATCTCCCTAACCCTGGTGACTTGACCGCTACACTCTAAACAGATAGAAGCTAAATAAGAAATCCTGAATGTGGAAATCTGCTTTCAAATCTGGTTTCCTACTGGATCAGACATTATACTATACAGAAGCACCTGGGGGGTATATGAGAACAAGCATGATACAATTAAACAAAATCAAAATACCTTTTTCTTTTTAAAACACATTGCAAACTTTGCATAAAATGACTCTTTTAAAAAAAAAATGTATTTTATTGATTTTTTTACAGAGAGGAAGGGAGAGAAAGATAGAGAGCTAGAAACGTCGATGAGAGAGAAACATTGACCAGCTGCCTCTTGCACACCCCCTACCGGGGATGTGCCCGCAACCAATGTTCATGCCCTTGACCGGAATCGAACCTGGGACCCTTCAGTCCGCAGACCGACGCTCTACCACTGAGCCAAACAGGTTTCGGCATAAAATGACTCTTTTAATAACCTTCAAAGTATATCCCATTTCATCAAAAGGACAGAATAAAAACTGTGAACATATCCCACACTTAGTCTGCTCTAACTAGCACAGTACATAAGCCACTCAAATGTAAAGGCCTAGTAAGTATGGGGTCTTATTCTATAAATAAAAACCTAATATACAAATCAACCTAATGGTGGAACGACCGGTCACTATGATATGCACTGACCATCAGGTGATAATGCTCACTGCAGGAGCTGCCCCCAGCCTGCAGGCCTCAGGCCAGCCAAGGCAGGTGCCAGTGGGAGCCCACCCCTAATTGCCTCACAGAGGAAGGTAGCAGGGCGATCAGGGGGCAGGGCCGGCTGGCAAGCAGGTTGGTGCCACCCCCTGATTTCCCTGCTGGTTGCCTATAAGGCAGGTGCCAGTAGGGGCCCCCTGATTGCCTTGCCAGTCGTCCCAAAGGTCAACCCTGAATGCTGGTCAGGCCTAGAGATCCTACCTATGTCCGAATGTCGTGCACTGGGTCTCTAGTACAGCATAAGGATGAACACAAGGATGCCACTACACCCCAGCCCACAAACACACACTCACTGCCAGTTAACATGGAGCACACAGAAGAGAGCAAACACTTGACAAATGTTGTTTAATAAGCATCATATTCATTTGCACCCAAAACCACTAGCTGATATGGTGTGCATTCATTCTCTAAAGATTTATAAAAAAAGATTCCTTTTTAAAGAAAGGCTGCCAGAAGCCAAGATGGTGGCATAGGTAAACACCTGAATTGTTGCCTTGCACAACAATTTGAAAACTACAACTAAAAGACAAAATGGACATCATCTAGAACCACAGAAAGGCTGGCTGAGTGGAAATTCTACAACTAGAAGGAAAGAGAAAAGTACATTGAGACTTACAGGAATTGTGGAAGGCAGAGGTGCGGAAGGCAGAGATATGGAGGTGTGTGTGTATGAAGAGGGCTGGCAACTGAGTACTTAGCTGGCTTTCTCAATCAGGAGGGAAACAAAAGCTCCCAACTGCTCTGAACTCCAGTTCCAGGCAAGACTCTGGGGACCCAGACTCATATGGGGAGAAACTGGACTGTCTGGCAGTGGGCGAAACTCGAGGGTGGCTTTATCTCAGAGGTGCTTGTAGCGATTACCACGGGACACTGAGAACCAGGGGCCTCTTAGGGCAGGGCTGACAGGAAGCCACTGCGGTTTGCTCTGCCCTAAGATCCTGCCCCACAAAGCCCTTGCTGCTTGCTCTGCCCTGAAACCCTGCCTCATCCAAGCTGAGCACAGAGGCTTTTGCATATGAATGGCCTGGTTCTTTGAATTCTAAAAAAAAAACTGCAGCTGGGTCAGTGAGACCCAGAACATCCAAAAGAAGGCCCAAGGCCCCACAGCAGCTTGCTTTGCTTCACAGCTGGGCCTCATCTGGGCAATTCCAAAACCCAAACAAATAAGAGATCTGGAGGCTCTCCATAGCTCCTGCTGGATGGCCTTAGGCAGAGGCTAAATTAGCACCTCCTTGGAGACCCTAGAGCCAGTGTACCCAGGGGTCAGAGTGGGACCATCCAGATTACAGCTCCTCAGATTCATAAAGGACACACTCAGGGGACAGACTCAGTGAGCACCAAAGCCCCACTGAAGCAAGTCTTGTCTCATAAGGGTGTCTCCAGCACAAAGTTCTCTCATTGTAGACACAGCTGATCCTCATAGCCAATTGGCCTGGAGGTCAATTCCTTCCGGTGATACCAACAACATTTAAGGCTTAACTACAAAAAGACTGCATACAGCCCACAAAGAGGTGCATCAAGAGTGTCCACCTCAGATAACTGGGGAGGCTGAGCCACTCGGCCCTATAGGACACCTAGCACACAAAGCCATTCTATCAACTCAGGGAAGCAGCCAAAATATTAAGATAGAGAGAAACCAAGATGGCGGCATAGGTAAACGCCTAACTGAAGCCCCAAACAACAATTTCAAAAAATACAACTAAAATATAAAGTGGACATTATCCAGAACTACAGGAAAGTTGACTGACTGGAAATTCTAAAATTAGAAGGAAAGAGAAAACCAGAAGGAAAATCAGAGGAGATGTAAAAGCCTAAAGTACAGAGACACGGTGCTCACGTGGGGAGAGGATGAAGCCGGAGAGGAGAGACAGCCGAGTGCCTGGTTGGTGTTCCCTAGCGGGAAGGAGATAAAAGCTCCAGACTGTGCTAAATCCCAGTTCCGACTGCACTGAACCCCAGTTCTGGGTGAGACCCTGGGGTCCCAGGCTCATACAGAGGGATTCTAAGCTGTAAGGCGGAAACTCAGGGGAACGGCGAAAGGCAGAGCCCCTGAGTCACGCGTATTGAGCGCAGAGGACTGACTGTTGACTGTGCTGCTGGATTGCCCTAGCGGGAAGGAGACAAAACTGTGTTGAGTCCCAGTTCCGACTGCACTGAACCCCAGTTCTAGACCAGACCCTGGGGACCCAAGTTCATACAGAGGGAATCTGAGCTGTAAGGCGGAAAGTCAGGGGAGTGGCGAAAGACAGAGCCCCAGAGTCATGCATGTTGCGCGCAGAGGATGGACTGTTGACTGTGCCACTGGATTGCCCTAGAGGGAAGGAGACAAAAGCTCCAGACTGCACTGAACCCCACTTCCAACTGCACTGAATCCCAGTTCTGGGCTCATTGGGGGAGAGACTAGACTGTCTGGTAGGGCACTTTTCTCTCAGAGGTGCTTGCAGTGAGTACCAAAGGACACTGAGGAATACTGAGACTCAGGAACCTCATAGGGTGGGGCTTACAGGAAGCCAATGTTGTAAGCTCCACCTTGAAACTCTGCCCCATCCAAGCTGAGCTTTTGAATAAGGCTGTCTCCCCGCATAGACACAGCTGATCCTCACACCAAGAGTGTCTACCTCAAATAACTGGGAGGCTGACCCACTGAACCATACACAAAGCCACCCTACCAATTCAGGGAAGCAGCAAAAATGCCGAGACAAGGAAACATCACAAATGAAAAAAATGGAGAACAAAAAGAGACTGGATATAGAGTTCAAAACCACGCTTATAAGGTTTTTCAAGAATTTCCTAGAAAAGGCCGATAAAATAAATGAGACTATGAGGATATGAAAAGGGATCAACTAGAAATAAAGAATACATTGTCTGAAATAAAAAATATACAGAGTCCTAAAAACAGAAAGGAAGATTGCAAGAATCAAGTCAAAGATTTGGAACACAAAGAGCCAGAGGACACTCCTCCACAGAAGCAAAAAGACAAGAGAATCCAGAAAGTTGAAGATAATGTAAGAAACCTCTGGGACAACTTTAAGCGAACCAACATCAGAATTTTGGGGGTCCCAGAAGAAGAGAGCGAACAAGATACAGAAAACATACTGGAAGAAATAGTGACAGAAAACTTCCCCCATCTGAGGAAAGAATTAGACTTACAAGTCCAGGAAGCACACAGAACCCCATAATAGAGGAACCCAAAGAGGACCACACCAAGACACATCATAATTAAAATGCCAAGAGCAAAAGACAAAGAGAGAATATTAAAAGCAGCAAGAGAAAAACAGGTAGTTACCTATAAAAAAAGCACCCATATGATTGTCAGCTAATTTCTCAACAGAATT